TACCCACACAGAAAAAATTATCTAATAGATATCTAATAAATATCTAAATGTCTAAAGGTCTATATCCTCTAAAGATAACTAGTATATATATATATATATATATATATATATATATATATATATATACATAGTAGGGTATCAGGTGTATATGTATTATATATACATAGTAGGGTATCAGATGTATCTAAAAAAAAGCTCTTGTAGCTTACTTCGAGAGCTTCTCAAAACACTATTATAAAGTATTTTTTTTATCAAGTACTTTTCGAGTTATAAGACTTGAAATAATTTTTACATAAAATATCTAGTAAAATATTCATTTTTCGATTATTTTATCTTAATACTTTTATGTACAAAATAATGAGAGAAATTCATATAAAGAAAAAAAATAATTGTTGAAAACAATAATTGTTTCGAAAAAAATATGTAATTGTAAATTACATATTTTTTCTTCGAAACAATCATGTGATTAGGTAAAAAATCCAAAAATAGCTATTTCGAACAATTTCATGAATTTATAAGAGAATTATAAGAGAATTATAAGAGAATTTAATTTTTTAAAATATTTCTGCCAATGGCATCGTATAGTATTAGTCTTCATCTTTTAAATTCATTTTCGATCTGTTTTGCTATATTAGAGGAAAATTAGAATTCCACAATCAAATGATGGATCTTTAATACAACTAATTATTGACAAAAAGTGTGTGTACAAACTATAGAATTTAAATTATTTATATGTCTCATATACTGTCATATATTTAAATATGATAATATATTGAACGTTAAAAATATAATAAGTTTAATTAATTTAAATCCGATATACATTTTAGTAATGACAAAACCTAGAGTTGACACGACAATAGCAAGAAAAAGAAATATATATTAAGCAACGCAGATGTATGATGTTAAACAAATTTTAAAGTTATGCCCGATTACGACATTTTTGAACTGTCGATCAAAAATAATTGAATATACCAATCTATGGCATCATCAGATAGACACAATTGATTATTAGAGATATATATCGCGTAACATCGACCGGTTGACAAGCAAGCCTCACCGCTTGTGCTTCAATAAATCGAAAACCTATCATGTGCTTAGCTTTCTTTCTTACTGCTCGCGATAAATCATCAGATTATGCCGAGTCAAGAGAAGAATAGAGAAGCATTATAGGACCGCTAGAAAACGATGCGATTTGAAAACATTTAGTGAAAGGATCTCTCTTTCTCTCTTTTTTTTCCTTTCTCTATCGACATCATCGTTACCGATCATAATATGAAAAAAGTGGTGAGAGACAGGGAGAGATGGTGAAAAAAAGAGAGAAAGGCAAAGAGAGGGAATGTTCGATAAATCAAGTCATCGATCGCGTTTGTGATAAATGTATCTTCGGCCCGAGGCTATACAAGAATTTTAGAAGTCGAGGAAATCGATCTCCCGGGCAAATCTATTGCTCGCATTTTTACCACTTGACGTCGAACACGTCGGCGCTTGAAAAAAATATAGATAGAGTAGAAACACCTGCCAGGATATGTAAGATATATCTATCAGATTTTGCGATCGCGCATCTTATGGATCAATATCTCTCTCTCTCTCTCTCACACACACACACACACACACACATTCTATCTCTTCATTTCTAAATGCTTCCCCATTTCGTTCCGACACGTGTTTCGAACTTTGCTAATTGACAGAATTTTATTAATGGATCACCATCATACGCGCAATTAATTCTATTCTATCGAGATTTTCTTGTCAGCGAATAAAGTTCTCAACAAATTCTTCGGCGATATATAATGAAATGACGATATCTACAGCAATACAATTAATATCTATAACAAAGGGATATCTATATTCAATTTATATTTTAGTATACACATTCTACTTGTGTCATATGAATAATACTTTAGAGAAGAAATAAGATTTAGAATAAAGCAAAAAAGAGAATATATTAAAAGAGATATGCAAAAAGTACGAAAATTTTCAAAATGTGTTAATTGATGAATTACAATACTCTTATATTATTTACATTTACACACACACACACACACACACACACACACACACACACACACACACACACACACACACACACACACACACACACACACACACACATATGTAAATGTAAATAATATAAGAGTTATTATAATTCATCAATTATAATAACATCTAATTTTTTTCGTAAGTTATGAAGACAATAACTATCCACATTTTCAGTTGTTTCTGTCATGTATGTAATTGTTCTAAAGTAAAAATACTATTAGAAATAAAATTGAATTGTAAGATTGAAAATATCTTACATATAAATTTTAAAAACATAATAAGTATTTTTAGCTCCTATTGGTTTTTGCTATTTGTATAAGTATTTTTAGCTCCTATTGGTTTTTGCTATTTGTTCATTTAAAACATTAACAGCTTGATGTATTTAATTTAAGGAGAAATAAGAAAAAACATTTTTCACTAATAATGTGTTTTAAAGATCTCTATTGTAACTCGGTTGACAATGTCGCAATTGCATTGAAATCATCTCTTGCGAGCGTTGATGTCTCTACCTGCGCATGGTGGGAAAGGGTTTTTATCTTCAATCGACACGTGCCATTGAGCTAAACATAAAAACGCGAGAGGCTTTTATTGCTAATCGCGGATCACAACCTCAGAAGCACCGCTAGTGACGATATATATTTTGTAATGAAAAAATAATAATATTATATATAATATTTATTTTTCGCCAATTATAATGAAATTATTTATGATACTAAGAGTAGCAGTATGATAGTAAAGTAGAATTTTCCTTTATTTGATATAATAAAGTTTTTAATAACATTTTTAAAATGTTCATCAAAGATACACAACGGGTACACAAAATACTACAAAAATGCCTTGAGGAGTTGGTAGCAGGTCATCTAACAAAATTAGCTGGAATGCAAAAGATTAATAAAAATATAAAATGTAATGAAATATAAAATATAAAGTCACGAATTATCAAATTATATATAAGTATTGTAACAAATATTAATATAAACTGCCAGAATAAAGAAAAAAGCGAAAAAGAATTATATATAAATTATTTTCTAAATATTTTTTGTAATGTATAAATTATTAAGATGTCCAAAGAAATAATAATGGATATCCATAAAATGTCCTAAAGATGTTTTAGACTTTAATTTGGATATTTTAAATACATACGAAACGTCCAATACATTTATTTTTAATACGGTTTTTAAAACGTCACTGAGCTGCTTGAGTCTTGTACATATTCTCGATTCTCGATCAAAAAAACTCTGTCAAAACGCATAAATATATGATTTAAAAAATCGTTTAAATTGTAGATGTAAGCAATTAATGCACCCCAATTTAATGGCCCCCATTACCGAACCATAAACATATCTGAATCTCGTAGATTTCGATTGATATTGATCGACGGCTTTGCTTGTGTGGATACTGTTTTACGTTCGATCTAGTTATGAACCAGAAACTAACCCTAACGGCTTCTCGTTGCAGTTATGTCCACTCCAACGAAAGAGAAACTCCGCTACGTGTGTTGTCAGCGGAAAGGCAAGGCGGAAAATGAACAACGACGCATAAAAGGAGCGGACGTTCGCGCGCAAAAAAACCACTCTTCGTCCAACTAAATAATAGTGAAAAGCGTTAATTATGGACGTTTTACCGGTGGATGCCTTGCGCGACTTAACCAGCGAACGAAGTCGAAAGTGTGTACCTACATGTATGTACTACGGCGGATTGTCGATTTTTTCGCAATGCAGAAAATGCCGCCGCGTTTTCGCGCGGCCCCGAAGAAAGTGATAGCAGTAGAGTGTGTGTCGTCCGGTATGAGATCTGGTCGATTAAGTTCGATTTACATGTACTTTCCCTTGTGCGTTCGCTCGTGTAATAATACTCTATCGTGCGGAGAGAAACTTTCGCGAGCGGAACGCATCCTCGGGCGACGCCCTGTCAAATTCGAGAAGACGAAAATCCGATGATATGCGGTGGAATTACGTTGAATCTCTTTATTGTAGGATTATACACAAGATTCAAGACAACAATTCGTAAAAATATATTGAAAATTTTCAACTTAAATCTTATCTTGATTTTCAGTGAATCTTGTAATATGAAAATCTCTTCATCTTGTATAATTTGATCACGATTTTATTAACAATTTCTATCTAATGCTAATTGTTTAAAATAATACTTAACTTAACCTAATATTTAACCTAATTTAACTTTGTATATTAGTATACTATAACAATTTAGGATTACGTTTCAAAAAGTAAGTAATCGAGGAAATTTTATTCGGATGGCCGTTCCGAAATTTTTTCAAGCCTTTCTGATTCAAATCTTCTGGTTCAAATCGGCCATCGAGTAAAATTTACTTACGTTTTGGAATGGAACCTAGGATAATTATTATTATTTATGTCATTCATATATATATATATATATATATATATATATATATATGTATATGCTATATGCTATTTTTTCTTAGGAAAAGGCAGTGATGCCAGAATGCAAACTCAACTAACATATACATAGACAGAGAATCGTGTACATATGTTGTACGCAGTTTTGTGTAACTAAATAATTTTTAAAAATTTTATATTGTTTATTGTATTATGTTATTGTTTTTAAATTTGTTAACATAAATGTTTTTATTTATTAAACGAAATTTTTAAAATTCTATAATAATGTGTGATTATAATATTGTGTGTATATTGTGTGATTATATCCTTATTTAATTCACAAATATATATATTTTAGCTTCTTTTAAAAACCAGTAATCTTAACATGTCTAATAATTTTGATAATTTTAGTCTTGGATATTATCTTGATACTGATTAAAAATTTTGTTTTGTTTTTTTCTCGAATTTCGAGAAGACAAAACTCAAAACTAATGTTGATATTTTGTGCAGTCCTACTTTATCGTTTTAAATTTTAAAGTGAATATTATATAAATTAACACGATATATTTACTCAAATTTTATAAAAATGTATTTGTTCATAATTCCAAGTAAACAGAAGAATTAATAAAATTTGTTGGTAAATTTTTTAAAATAAGTATTTTTTATTATATATATTTCTTAATGCTTTTCACTTACGAAGAAAACACAGCTATTTAAGTTTCAAGTGGTAGATTGCGAATATACTGAAAAAAACTGAATAGCTCTCGTAAGATAAACATTTTTCCAAATGGAAATAAAATCTTTGAAAGAAGAATTTTAGATTTTTCATGTTTTTTTTCGGAAATAAACGCTGTAATAATATTACTTTTTAACATACATCAATATATTGATTCAACATTGATGGATGTCATGAATCTTGTTCTCCTTTTTCTAAGAGAACTTTCGTTTGAGGATCTAAATGCTAAATTTGACAGAGAAATATAATGCACAATCGGAAATAATCGAGAAATTGAATGTTGTCGGTTAAATGATTAATTCTTGTCTAGCTCTTCGATCGCCTTTAATTGGATTTGTTTGAAAAATCTATTTGAAATGTAGTTTCACCGAGAGTGAGTAATGTCCACGTGAAAAATGACGGCTGGTTACGGGAAGAAGAAAATAAGAGCAAGAAAGAGAGAGAAAGAGAGAAAAAGAGAGCGTGCGGTCAGCAAGACTGACGTCTGTTACGTGAATTAACCTGGGGAGATTGACGTTTCTCGAGATCTCCGGAGATGTTGGCAGCCGCGCGATCCAGTTTTCGATTTCTAGAAAGTCGGGATGAGCCGGGCGTGGTTTGTATGTGTATCTCTCTCTCTCCAGCCCATCCTTTTCGTCTCCCTGTTCTTCTCTCACTACATCGTCCTTGCTGGTATGATTTCTCTGCCGACATTCACCTACGTATACGATAAGTGCTTCTTCAGGGCCGCATGTATATCGATATTATAAGATATCTTATCGGATATCATCGTTCGTTTTATATAAAGGGGAGAACTACTGTCTTGAATAAAAATTTAATATTAAATGAATTTATATTTACATATGTGTACATATATATATTTTTAACATTTATTAAATTATTAAATTATATATGCATATATATATATATATATATATATATATATATATATATATATAGTGTTTCTCATTAATTCTCTTACATATTATTTTCGTACATATTATTATTATTATTAAGGAACTATTGACGATAAACTTTCTTTTCATCAAATAAAAAGGTCTTTCATATTGTATAGTAAAATGTATAGAATTGTATAGTAAATTGTATAGAAAATTTTAAATTAAAGAGGGCAAAAGGAAATTTTATTTTATTGTCCTGTTAATAAATAGGAAACGATTAATGGAAAAATCATTTAAAAAATGTACTAAAATAAAGAAATTAATTACGAAGAACACTAGAAATTAATTATTTAGAATACGATCATTTTTAGATTGCAACAAAATTGAACGCTCCTGTAATAATCGAAATATTAAGCGACGTAGTAACGTTGCGACAAGTACATAAAAAATTAATAAAAAATTGAATCCGAGCATTGAGAGTCACTGTTATCGATGAGGATGCTACCAAGTAGCTTATTCGGAATTTTACGTCAAATAAAATTTCGATTAAAATATTTCAGAAACTAAAGCCATAATCGAAAGTTTAATGGCATTTTTATTATATAATGTGAATACAAGCTTTTGATTGCGACTAGTTTGAATAAAATCGGTGCAATCAATCCCGAGAAATGATAATCGCATGTCAGAAATGTGACATTTTTCATTTTTCTTTATAATAAGGTTCAAACTCATGAACACATCTTCGTATGCACACATTCAAAGCGATTTTGTTCCTCAAGCTGCGTTTACACTGCGCATATATGATTACTTGCTTTGGTGTGCAAAAATGCTTTAAGAGACAAAACCATTTATGTACATGTGTGTGCATATATGGTAATAGGTATATATGTGTGTGTATACGTGTGAGAGATTAATTTGTCGTATAATAATTTTCAAAAACCTCTTGGGGGTAAAATCTAATATTTTGAAAATGGGAGTTTACAAAAATATAAAACTGTGCCGTTAGATAAGACTACCAAGGAAACTAATTTATCATTACGTATTATAACAATATTCAAAAACCACCTTTGGGAATGAACTCTAATATCTAGAAAATGAAGTTCGTAAAAATACACGACTTACGTCCTTCATTAAGATTTTTAAAAATGCATATATATTTTTTGCAGAAATAATCTAAACTTTTACAAAAAGGTAGTGATATCCCCCCGCTCCGTCGTTTACATATCTTGAATAAAATAAAAAATTTTATACAATATACATATATACAATATATATTTGTTAATCTTTTCATTTAGTAAATACATCTCATATCGGTTTTTAAATATTTTATTTTTATTACTCTTTTAGATTTTTTGATTTTTTAAAGATTTTTTTATGTACTTGGCGTATTTTTTTCCCTTTATAAGGTTTTTTTAGGGGGATCATGTATATTATTTAATTAGTTTTGAGTAGCTAAAAATTAATTTTGATATCTTATAGTAAACGTAAATAGCATAAGCTTTAATAATCTGATTTTTTATTATGTTTAATATTTTTGTGCTAGAATATAAAGTAATCCAAAATTAGAGAATAATGCTGTTCTCTTGAAAACATGAGATTGCATTTGCCAATGACAATATTCTGTTTCCTTTCGTGACATTTATTAAGGCCACCGACTGTAAAAGTAACGGCAATTGGATGAACCTTAATCATTTTCAATACGAAAAAGAGAAAAAATATAGAAGTCGATAAGGTCATTGATGTGCTTCGCATGCATGCTTCCGAGTAAATGAGACGACAGATTTCGAAGATTAATGATCGTTCAGCGAAGTCTATAAAACGTGATGAATCATGAAATTTTAAATGTTTTTTTAATCACAATTCACCTTATCATTTACCTTCATAGCTTGACATGCAATTAAGAAAACTTATACGTTAACCAAATTTCATAAGTTTATAGTTTCATAGGATTTTCTGTTGAGAAATAAGAAACGAGGAAAGAGGCAAAAAATGTACATAAAAAATGTATTCAATAATATCGATAATAAATAAATACATAAATAAATATATATATATATATATATATATATATATATATAACTCTATATTATATAATAAATATAATTTTAATATACTAATTAATTTCTTTAAGATACTATTTATTATTAGTTACTAAATAAATAAAAATCTCTGTTCTGAAATATAATATCCTGGTCCTACATAATCAATGCATATATAGATATAATTTTATTATATTAATAATGCTGTAGAAGTGTTGAAGTGCTATTTAACATCTCAATGCAATACAATTGTATATAAATAATTTATAAATAATTTATAAATAATTTATAAATATTTTTTTCATTTATATATATATATATATATATATATATATATATTAAAATTAAATTATTTCAGGTAATAACATTCAATTTCGCGAAAATGTATTTTTGTAACTTGACCATAAAACAATTCTAAATCAAGTAATAAAGTCTTGATTGATAATATCGTATTTTATCATATTAATATCATATTTTTAAATGTTTTAATGAAATAATTATCTCCAAAAAAAGTATTAATTATTTATTATAGCATAAGGGAAATAATTTAAATAATTATTTAATCAAAATTGCAATTATTAAATAATAATTCAAAGTTTATTTAACAAAATAAAAATTATTTCTCTTTAGATCACAAACTTGTCACACGTTGACATCCGAGGCCGGTTTTCGCTTCCAAGAAGTCAGGCCGATTAGAATCGATTGATTGCGATCATCACGTGCCTTTCATCTGTCGGTTTATGCCAGTAACGTCGCCAGTAGATTAAAGTGCCATTAATTTACATTCGTAGAAAAAGAATTCTTTGATATATACACACTTGACATGCACATAATTTATTCCAACGCCGCGGAACGTTCACAAATCTCGAGAGGATATAAATAAAAAAAAGGAAGAATATAAGGCCAATTTTAAACGGCTTCTCTCTATTAAAGCATAGGGACTTATATACACTTATAGAAGTACACGCAATCACTGATGAATTATAAATCACTGGTGAATTAATATATTTATCAATTTGACACAAAGATACACAAACGTGTATTAGATTTCTTATTTATTGCCTCAATTTCCTGCTGTGAAGGAAAACATGTGCTAAAAATAATAGATCTACAGAAGGAGGAGATGTGTGTCCGTAGATCTATACTCACATTTTCAAACAAGTGCGGTCTATCCAAACCATAATATGATACATCTTATATAATCGTGTTATCGTGTATAAATATCTATCTATCTTGTCGTTTTATTTGTGAGGGAAGTAATTATATCGTTCGGAAAATTGATTATGTATTATAGAGCATTAAATCTCGATCCGACACATAAAACGAAGAATCCATCGAAAAAAAGAAAATAAGTCATCATCAAAACAGAACAGAATGTTTGCTCAACTTTTATAAAAAAAAGAAGTAAGATTCTCTAATCTTCTAAGTATTTTTATTCAAAATTCCAGGTAAAATCAAAGAATTTTTGAATGTAATTTTTCAACATAAGTTTCTTTATATGTGTGTTTTTGCTCAAAAGATATGTAAAGAGCTATTTAAATTTCAAATGTTATATTTGAAAATGCATTAAAAAGAATTGTAGAGCTTTTATACGATAAATATTTTTCACTTGCACATTTTCATTTTTTATCGTATATAAGGTCTTAATCAAGAATGTGTATATTTTCGAATATGCTATCGAATATAAAAACAGAGAGAGAGAGAGAAAGAATATATATTACATATATATTTATTTTACATACATATATATTTTATACTAAAATATTGAATATATTCTTTTTATACAGGACACGAATTGTTTAACAAAAATTGTTCCATTTGTCGAGATCTATCACCCCCCCCTTTAAGTTTGTCGCAAATGTCCGGAAACACCCTGTATATTAAATATATGTATAAAGAAAACAATATATATTTATAATATATTTTGGACACGTATAATTCACATCTCAATCACTCGACAAATACTTGCAATATAAGAGTAAAATTATGAAAAAGAGAATTGTTTTCAAAAAAATTTCTAATAAAATTCCATAACAATTTTCTGACCTTATTAGTTCTCTGAAACAGAAATCTCAGACTTGTTCAGGAAGTAGACACCCTAGAGAGACATATTTACGAGTGAACACGACTACAATGCGAATTGCGCGCGTTATTGGCAAGGCTACTGGCTATAAAGTGACATAAAGAAACAAGGCAAGAAACACGCGTGCGTAGGCGCCAGCGCACGTGGACTAGCGCGTATGTTCACTAGGAGGACACGCACACATGCTTACACACTCAATCCTGCGAAATCATAAATAATAATCGACGATGCGGACGCGTATATATCTTTCGACACGATACATTGTTGGCGAATTAATTCTTGCTGCGCCACTCCTCGTAGCGCACGAAAATCAATGAATAATGAATGATGTCGACCGAACTGAGAGCAACATTTAAAAGTTTAAATGTTCCACAACTCCTTTTAATATGCGTAGCGTATTTTGAAAGCACGTTCTGCCAGTGCATTCAGCCTTTCTGTCAGAATCTTTTACTGCATGCTCCCTTCGCGGATTATTTCATCTGCTGAACGCACGTTAATCGGATTCCAAATGAAAATAATAAAAGCAATGACTTGCGAGTATTTAAGTTAATTTTAGTAAAATTAAGTAAAATTTAGTAAAATTAAATTTATAATTAATCGATTTCAATATTAATTATTTTCAATATAATACGCGCGCGCACACACACACGCACACACACACACACACACATATATATATTGCTGAAAGATATTAAAT